AAAATTTCCAGCATGGCTTGTTCTTCAGGTTCCTGCTCTCCCTTAAACACGTATCTCTTTTGCTTATCTCCAGGTCTCTACATTTCCTTGTTTGGAGAAGCCCATGTTCTCTCATAATTCTTCTCTTTTTCTCTCCTCACATCTTTCTAAGTTTCAGTAAACTCTATCTGGCTTCACTAAAAGAAAAAAAAATATAATAAAATAAAAATTTCAGCACAGATCAAAGTTATCTAATTATCTATTATAGATAGGACAGATTCACTTATGATTCCTTCTTTTCATCCCATTTTCTTACTTCTTAATGTTCCTTTCCCCATGTTTCTAGTATCTCAGTTTGCTACTTTCTTAAGATCTTACCTAGTCACTTTCTACATCCCTAAATCTTTTATAAGACAAAATAAATTCTTTCTTTTCCTCCATGTCCCCCCCCCCGCAATTCTCAACAGGACATTAATTTTTACAACAATCAGGGCAAAATAATTTACTCTAAATGTGTGATGGATAGTTCCATAATCATGAGAGTTATTTGCATTTTTAAAAGAGGTTGCTTGCTGCCAAACTTAATGCCTAATTAGTAGAACATAGGATGATGTTACAAGGTATCAAGTCAATATGGGCTTTTTCTTTTTAATTGGGAGAATGAGAAAAGAATAATTAAACTTTGAATATATGATCCCACAGAGTCTGCTCCACTGAATTGATCTGAATTTTTTCTAGACCCTTTTCTTCTTCAAATTTAGTTCCTATAAATTCTCTACCAACTCTATCTACATATTTATTTGTGTGCTTAACCTAGAAAATTCAGGGTCTCAGGTAACGGAAACAAAGAAGTTGATATATGAGAAGATACCATTTGAGCTTGTGATTGGTATATATTAACTTGAGGTGAGCCCATTTTTCATTTGAAAAAAAAAGTGATTTAAGAAATATCTTTATCATTATTATTGCATAAAAGACAAGTCTTATGTTGGGAATGTGGCATTTAATATTTTTGCCATACAGAAAACAAGGTAAATACAAGGAGAATTTGAAATCTGTCCGGGTATAAGCACATCAAAAAAAAAAAAAAAAACCAAAAACCACCACCAACAACAAAAGAGGTTTTCAAACTCAGAACTAAATCTGGGCCTGACAAGAAGTCTCCCAATGTCCTCAGAACTTGAAAGTGTTCACAAGAGTCTACAAACTACCATGGAGGCACCTGCCAGGAGCTTGTCACCACAGTCTTGGTACAAAGGAGGAAGTTTGAGCTGAGGGATGTTTAATGTCACGTCTAGAGCAAAGTGTGCTGAGAATAGACTCCTATATCCAGACTCCAAAGCACCTCTCATTGCAGACCTGGGCTACCTCCAGAATTACTCAGTTTTAATCTGCTGGTACCAGGAAACACAGATGTGCACAAATGCACATTTTAAATTGTGAGCATTTGGATTTCATTTTGTTTATTTGACTCTCCAACATGGGTCCTGAGATAAGTAGTTATTTCAAATCAAGTAATAAAAAGAGCTTCATCTTCTCTGGGCCACGCAATTTTGAATTCAGCTGATCATTCCACTGTCAACGCAGCTGCAGTCAACTTAGAATTCCAGCTCTGCTGCCACTTGCTACCTGATGGCTTTGTGCAAGTAACTCAACTTTTCTCAAATACAATTTCCTATTCCACAGAATGGGAATAGTAATACTAACCTGATCATGCTTTTGTGACTTGACAGTTAGGTTCTTTCTCACGTGGACTATTGTCACAGTCTCAGAGCTGGTATCCTGACTTCTACCTATATCATCTATTATCAACAGAGCAGCTAGAAAGCCTGGGAAAAACTTAAGTCCTATCGCTCTTCTGCTTCAAGCCAAAGCAGATTCCTCAGTGCCTCTCATTCCTTTCAGAGTAGAAGTCAACGTTACAAATTGGCTTATGTCATCTGCCACCTGATCATTGTCTCTCTGACCTCACCTGCCATACTCTCACCTTGAATAATTTTGCTCCAGTAACTTTGGAGCAAACTCTCACTACTTTTCAAACATACCAGAAACATGTCCTCCTATTCTATCCCCTCACACACTTCAAGGACCTCTGCAATTGCTCTTCGCTCTGCTAAAAAACTCTTGAGTATCCAAATGACTCCCTTCCCTCACCCTGCGTCATGGTCTTTATTTTACAGTTATCTACTCAGAAAGGTTTCCCCAGACTCCCCTATCAAAAATGACAATCTGGAGCAATAGTACAGTGGGTAAGGCGTTTGCCTTGCACACAGCCTACCTGGGTTCAATTCCCAGTGTCCCATATGCTCCCCTGAGCACCACCAGGAGCAATTACTGAGTTAAAGCCAGGAGTAACCCCTATGCATCACTGGGTGTGACCCAAAAAGCAAAAAAAAGACAAAAACAAATAAGCAAACAAACAAAAAGGACAATCTTCTCTCATAATACTTCCTTTTGGTTGCTCTCTTATATAAGTCCATATCAACTGACTTCCACTGGTTTTATTGTCTCATATTTTTTATTGTTTGTCTTTCCCACTAAGATATGAGCTCAACATAAGCATTTTGTTCATTTATTAACGCTATGACTTTGGAGGAAAACACTCAACTTTTCTAAAGTTTATGTATGGCCAGATAATTCTATAAGCAATGTTTGGAATACTCAGATTAGAAAAGGGAACATAGAAGAAAAGGGAAAAAAAATTAGGATTTTATCAAAAAGCCCAAGAAAGAAACAAAAGAAAGTGCAAGAAGGCCTGTTCTCTACCACTTATTCAGTATTTGCTGAATACCACTATTGTTTTCTCAATGGCCTGCATCTACACTCACCTGGACACATGGGTCATTCTCCTTTCTATGAGTGATCAGATAAGTCATGGACTTATGATATGTCTAACAAACATGCAGTCACTCTAGGATACCTGGAACCATTAGGAAGATGTATTCTTCATCAGCAAATTTTCATCAAAACTAAATTTGGGCATTTATGTAATACCAGGTAAAGAGTATTCGATATGCCAGACACAGTAACAACAAAGTCTCCAATGGAGACGTTACTGGACCCGCTCGAGCAAATCGACGATCAATGGGAGGGCCTTTACCTTTACCTTTGTGTGATACCAAGAATGAAAGTAGTCACTCACAGGCATCATCATTATCTGGAATCTTCTACTTCTGAATGCTTGTTCACACATACACAAACACACCTTCTTTCTTCACAATTCACAGATTCCTAATTTGGGGGCAATGCACCATAGAATTGTGCGCTTTTCTTATTCAGATCCCCTAAAGTACTCCTCTAGAGGAGGGAGGGTTTCAAATTGGCTGGAGTGGTTTATTTCCCATGCCTAAAACCCTAGAGCCTCCTTCTCATTCAGCTGCTCCTGTGACTTCCACTATTCCCATTGGGCCCCCTTTCTTCTCTGGTGCCCCAGCCTGGCAAGAGCTACTTTGAATGTCAGCTAAACTTTGCTCAGGGATGCAAGTTTAACTGGGAGAACTCTTTCTGAGGAAAATAACATTTGATTTGCAACTTTCTTGGGAATTTTCTGTAGCTAGAGTCTTCATCCTAAGGATTTAAGAGGGGTGGAGACGACCTCAAGAATCAAAACAAATCTCCAGAGCTAAATGCTAACTGTATTTGCATAACAATCATGCTGATTCACACAGCAGGATAAGGTCACGTGAAATAAATTGCCAAGGGCACGGTTCAGAGGAACTGGTATTGGAATTCTGACTTGCTGATCCTTCATGCTTGCTGAGCCCCATAGATGGGCTCCCCCATTCTCCTAAATCGTACTGTAGTAAGACTAATTAATTGCTTAAATGTAGTGCCTATGGGAATCCACAGCCGGCCCTCAACTTCTCTCTCTCTCTTCTTTTCTTTTTGGGTCACACCCCACGATGCACAGGGGTTACTCCTGGCTCTGCACTCAGGAATTACTCCTGGCGGTGCTCAGGGGACCATATGGGATGCTGGGATTCGACCGGAGTCAGTAACGTGCAAGGCAAATGCCCCACCCTCTGTTCTATCGCTCCAGCCCCTCAACTCTCGCTTTTCCTTCTAATTCCTGATCATTCAAATCATGGAGGAGGAAAAGAGCAAATCATAGCCCACTAACCTCATTGTATTACCGCGCAAAGGAAAGAACTGACCAGAAACAGTCCAATGGAGGGCTCTTGGTCTGACCTGGAAACTCCTGAACTGCGTAAAACTCTCAAAGTCATCTTCTCCTCGCCTATTTTCTTGATCAAGTAATTGCTACGAATTGATGGTCTGCGTTCCCCGACAAACAAAAAGGGGAAAGGGGGTGAGTGGGGGAAACCTTAGTATCCGCAAAGGCCCTCTTGCCAGAGAGAAGAAAACTGTGATGAAATGTCTAAAGGATTCTGACTTGGTCCCCTCGGCTAGAAGCCCCTTTCAAGCGACACGCCCAAGAGAAGCTGCAAAAATCACCGCCGCTTTCCACCTAGCCGCATGCACCGCTGGATTCGATTTCCCCGAGGCGACTCGGAAGACTCATTTCGCGTGGTTCCGGCGTCCTCGCCCTTTGCGAATTGTGCAAAGTCCGACGCCTGAGTCTGGGAAGCGGGAGGACTTGGAGGGGCGCGGGAAGTGCCACCCGGGTACCTCCTCATCAGTGGGCGTTTAGCGCAGCCAAGCGACAGGCTGGCGCCAGGGCTCAGCCACCGGGAGGCGCCGGCTGAGGCGGGGAGAACTTTGCGCTCCGAGTAGAACCACCCTTTGCTGGCCAGTCGCGTCGCTCCTCCAAGGAAGCCAGCGGCGGTGGCGACTGGGCGGAAAGAGGACGAGAGGAAGCGAGAGAGGAAGCAGCGGGCACCGGAGCAAAATGCAGCCGGCGCTGGGGGAGCCCGCGAGAGCGTGGTCCAGGGAGGAGCGGGCAGCTTTGGGCTTGTTGGGCGCTTCCCGGGCGTGAACCTCTCGTGCACGACCCCAAGGAATAAGGGGGTCTCGGCCTGGGCGGAGAAAGGAAAAGACCCCCAAGTGAGCGCGTCTCCACCTCCTCGCGTCCCAGCTCCCTGCTAGGAGCTCGGGCTTCCTCCGCCCAGCCTCCCGGGCGGGACCCGACGCAGTGCTCCAGCCGCCCTGCAGATGGGGCGGGCGGGGAACCGGCGCCCAGGACGCGGGTGACCAGCGCGGGCCCGCCCGCCTGCCCGGCTCCGCGCGGGGGACCGGGCGGCTGGAGGATGTGAGGCGCCGGGACCGGGGAGCTGAGATCGCCGAGGGCGCGCCGAGCTCCAAGTTGCATGGCCCGCACGCCGCGGCTGCTGCGGCTCCCGGGACCGCTGCCCCGCGTCGAGTGAGCCGCGCTCGGGACCCGGGGGGCGGAGACCTTAGGCTGCGGCTGCCGGCGGACGAGCCGGGCGCTGGAGGGGGCGCGCTTTCTCCCTGCGGGTCTCAGTAATGAGGAGACTGAGTTTGTGGTGGCTGCTGAGCAGGGTCTGTCTGCTGCTGCCGCCGCCCTGCGCCCTGGTGCTGGCCGGAGTGCCCGGTTCCTCCTCGCACCCGCAGCCCTGCCAGATCCTCAAGCGCATCGGGCACGCGGTGAGGGTGGGCGCGGTGCACTTGCAGCCCTGGACTTCGGCCTCCGGCTCGGCCAGCCGCTCTCCGGACGGCCACCGGGCAGGGGTGCAGCGGGATGAGCCCGACCCAGGCTCTTGGCGGCCCCCCGCGCCCTCTGCGGGCGCGCGCTGGTCGGGAAGCGCCCTGCACGGCCGGGGCCCGCCGGGCGTCCGGAAGCCCGGGGAGGGCACCGCGGCCGAGACCCTGTGGCCACGGGACGCCCTCCTGTTCGCCGTGGACAACCTGAACCGCGTGGAGGGACTGCTGCCCTACAACCTGTCTTTGGAAGTCGTGATGGCCATCGAGGCGGGCCTGGGCGACCTGCCGCTCTTGCCCTTCTCCTCCCCTAGCTCGCAGTGGAGCAGCGACCCTTTCTCCTTTCTGCAAAGCGTGTGTCACACCGTCGTGGTGCAGGGGGTCTCGGCGCTGCTCGCCTTCCCCCAGAGCCAGGGCGAGATGATGGAGCTGGACTTGGTCAGCTCGGTCCTGCATATTCCAGTCATCAGTATCGTGCGCCACGAGTTTCCGCGGGAGAGTCAGGTAAGAGAAGTCGGGAGCGCGCAGTGGAGACGGGCGCCTCTGGGGGTCCCGGACCTGAGCCCCGGGAGAAAGGGGGTGGGGGCCAGTGCGGGGGGACGCGGACCTTGCAACTTTGATACTGAGTCGGGCTATATCCGTGGTTGTCAGGGAGCCGGGCCGCAGTAGAAGTTAAAGAAAACATTTTAAGCACGGCTGGATGTAAAAACGGGAACTAGGAGATGGAAGGAAGAAAGAGAGAGGGGAGAATAAGTTGCGGGGGACGGGGGGCTCTTCTTCGTGTTGTGTCCGGCTGGCTCTGGGAAAGGGATTTCTGAGGTCTAAGTTCAGGATCTTGGGCAGTTCTCGAGGTTGTGAAGACTAGCGCGCTGATGAGGGCGGAGAATCTCTGGCTTCGTTGGAGTCTTGCATTCCCTTGAGTTACTCTCAGCCTGTGGCAGAAGAGAGCTGCATCTGCTTAGCTTTAGGGGTGCCTGCGCTGGTGTGGGAAACGCTTCCCTCCGCTTGCCTTTGAGTGGTTAAGAAATTTGCAGCTAGCACAGAAGCAGTGGGTAAAGAGGAGCGGCTATTCAGTCTGTCTTGGGCAGTGGAATGCCTTAGAAATAAAAATAGCATAAAAAATGCTATATACGCAGTAGCATAAAAATGGATGGGGTCAGGCATTCATTTAGGATTGTTTCTTTATCCCTACTCCCCCCCTCCCCCACTCCCCTTCGTAATTTGGGTTCAGAGACTGGCTAGATGTAGTCGTTCTGTTGCGATTGCTTACAAATACAAAAAGAAGTCAATAATTGAGTTCCTATGGGTTAAAAACACTGCACGTATTTTTTCAATAAAAGAAGCTATCTGTGAACTTAACTGCTAACAACGATCATAGTACTTAAGGAAAGGGCAGAATTCTTTAAGTAATCGGAGTTTCCTGCATGCTGAGCATCATTTTTAATCAAAACATTGAGCCTCATTAAGCCTTGCACAGAATATTTAAGAAATTAGAGCTTTGGTCTTGACCCCATTTTATAGATTGAGAAACTAAGGAAAGTTTCAGAACTTGATCAGCATTGGTCAGTGTACAAGTGAAAAAATCCAGACACTGGAGAATATCTATCATTTCATTCTGTCCCGTTAGCTGGAAAAAATATTTCTAATTATATACACACATATAATAAGTAGATGAACAAAAATTAGAATATATAAAAACTAAAAAGAGTAAGGTAAATGCAAGTGAAAAGTTTCATAGAATGTATGTACAAAATATTAGGGAAGTTCGTAAAATTTGTTTTTTATAGAAAAATGAATCTTACATTATTAATGTTACAGAGAGGGGGCCCAAGCTACTTTCAGCAGTTGCCAGAAGATTCCTATTTAATGCTGCACTGTAGAGATTTGATTTGCAGAGTGAGGACTAATTAACTTATATCTAAAATATTTCCATCCCCTGAATCTGCATGACTGTAGGTAGCAGATGGAAAGGCATGGAAAACACAGGTGTACAATGCTGCCAATGACCAAAGTGTTCTCAACATGAAATTGCATTCATAGGGTGCATCATTATAATATGTATGCAGAATCAGATCTAACAAGATGCAAGAGTCAGCATCACTTGCTTCTCATCATTGCTTCTTTATTACCTAATACTTCATAAGGTGCCAATAGTGTTCCCAGTCTCCAAGCTCCTGTCCATTTGCAGATTGTTTGGCAAGAGTCTTAAATAGCAAGAATTTTACCATCCCCAAATTAGTGTTCCTTAGTTAGAAGGGCAATTGTCTGTGTATGAATTTGTATAGTACACAGTGTATTATAAGGGAACCCATAACAACATGGAGTATGATGCAGAATTAGTAGACTTTGAGGCCTTTGGACCTCTGGGCACATAAAGTCCTCAAAGGACAACCCTTACAAGCTGATAATAAAATAAGTACTCTGCCAAGCACATTTACTTCTGTAGTTCCATTCAGAAATGTATTTTAAATCACTGTTGTCACTGGAACTTTCGTGGCATACATCTTGAAAGGAAGAGATTATTATATTAACCCAAATCTAGTTTGCCCAACTGAGGACATTTTCTTTCATTTCTCTTTGTATTTCAAATTCAAACATCTCATCTTGTCATACTTTTAGTATATTATCTTAATGTTATTTTCCAGTGCCCTATATTAAGAATGGGCATTTCCAAGCCAAGTCCTTTATTCATCAAAAATAACTGATCTTTCCTTATCTTCTCTGAAAAGTAGATCTTTCTTTCATACACTTATTTGATTTTTTAAACAAACTTTCTAAATGTCAAAGTAATTTCACACAATGAATAAAGTTGCCTTAGTTTTAGCCACCATACTCATAGAGTCCACTGCCTAATGACCTAATTTATTGATTGTGTGTTTCCTTTCATTTTGGGGGGAGGTGTCATTTCCTTTCATATGAAGACAAAGATTAATAAACAATGATCTAATATGAGCCTGTCACAACACCTTAGTGGAAATAGATACCAACAAAATGATCAAATGCCTGAGTCAAGCATGCTAGTTTTAATTCTGTCTACTTCTTATTTGAAACAAGTACTTACAGTCACCAATTTGGAAGAAACCAATTTTTTTTATAGAAGGAACATCCTTAAAAGTACAATAGCCAACTATCCATCTCTTTGAAACCATGTGTGTTTTAACACTGAATAAAAGTTTAGTAGAACATTTTACATAGGGTCAGGAAATACTTCCTTCTTCCCCCAAAACAGCTAACTCAATTCATTTAAATGATCCTTTCATTTCATAGTTCTAAACCCCATTCTTAAAACCATCCATATGCTGCTTCAAATGGATCCTGTTAAATTTATGTTTTATTACATTAAGTTCTTATATATTTTTTTCTCTTCTGTTTCTGTATAACTTTTTTTCTTTCAAGGGATATGGATAGTTTCTCCAAAGTTGGCTCCTTAATATATACCTGATGAGGTAGTAACAACTACATAATTCTTTTTTAACAGATATATTTCAGGACTACAGAGATAGTGCAAAGGGTAAGACCTTTGACTTGCTTGAAGAAGACACTGGCTTGATCCCCAACACCACATGCAGTCCCCTGAGCAACACCAGAAGAGATTTCTAGGCATAGAATCAGAAGAAAGGCTTGATTGGGTATAACCCAAAAATGAAACAAAAAAATTTAAATAATGGCGGTATATCTCATGTTAATTCCATATCGGTTCCACTAGAGAGAGTGGATGGAATAATATATTATGCTTAGCTTCAAACTCATGCAATTAAAAATCTTCCATTTCAACTTTTGAAAGGTTGAATATATCAACCAAGATTTGCCTGACTCATGAACTGTATATACTAAATTATTAGTATATATGTACTCCCATGTAAATATAAAAGTTTTGGATGCTCCAATTTTTCTGACAATATATGAGCAAGTACTTACTAGAATTTGGCTAGCACAGCACCACTTTTCTATACAGTGGGGAAAAATGATACCACCACTACATAGGTATCTCATGAGGGGACAAGTAAAGGACACTGATTTTTAGTACATTTTCTCTCAAATGAGATCATTTTCCCTAAACTGCTCCATATGAAGCACTGTTCTTTTTCCTCCTGGGAAATGTTTTCTTCTCCAGTTTATGATAAATGGCTGATAGTAACACCTAATTGTTGCTGACTTGAAGATAAATGATTTCAAATTAAATATCAAGTGATGCAAAACTTTTATTTGGATGATCTTGAAGAACAGAGACCTGGGACAAATTTGGAAGTTTTTATTTTTGATTTTGTGGATTTCTTTTTATAATATATATATATTTGAATAAGTAGAGCAGAAGAGATAAGCAGACAGCATTTAGTGGTCAGTTAATCTGTCTCATCTGTTTTCTCTGTGTCTGTCATAATAAAGTCATAGAGAATATTTGATCTTGATCTTCTTTGATCTTTGTTATATCTTACAGCTAAGTTGTGATTCAGTTGTGTAAGGTTTTGAATAATCCAAAACCTAATTATATTTATTTATTTATTTATTTATTGGGTCACACCCAGCAATGCACAGGGGTCACTCCTGGCTCTGCACTCAGAAATTATGGGACCATGTGGGATGCTGGGAATTGAACCCAGGTCGGTCGTGTGCAAGGCAAATGCCCTACCCACTTTGCTATCGCTCCAGCCCCCCGAAACCTAATTTTAGTGTTTACTTCCTTACTGCTTTCTTTTTCTGATACTGCAGAAAGGACAAGGCATTTGTAACCAGGATTTTGTTTTCTTAAATACTTTCAGTTTGGTTAAAGAATACAATGTAATTGACAAACATATTAAATAGTATTTCTAAGACTTCAGTCTACCTCTGCCTCTTATTGGCAATTTAATCTTTGGCAAGTGTCTCTATGGACATCTATGATACCAGTCAAAAGTTGTTCTGTGAATCACATGCGAAGGTGATATACTCTCACTAGAATCATGGCCTAGGTCCTACGAGATGGCTCATTGGGCTAGAAGGCATATTTTGTGTGCAGGAACCCCAGGTTTTATCCCCAGCACTACCCATCCCCTGACAGATTAGTCTCCAATTACTTCATTGTGAGTTGCCCCCAGCACTACCATGTACCCCAAGTGCAAAATGAATAAATAAATAAATAAATAATAAGAGTGACTTATCTCCATCATAATAGCCAATCAAACCAATATATGATTCAGTACAAAATATCTTTACATTCCACCTTTTATTTCTTTTTCTCTTTAAACAGCAAAGAACAGCTGAGTTCTGCAAAACCACCCAAAACCCCAAAATATCTGTTAACCTGAATTGGTTGCACACTTACCAACAACCAGAAGTGGTAGATATTATTTCTGTGCCAATGGCAATGTTTTACCTATGATACATCTTGCACTCTCAGTAGCTTGCCGGGCTCTCCAAGAGGGGCGGAGGAATCGAACTCAGGTGGAGCGATAGCACAGAGGTAGGGCGTTTGCCTTACAAGTGGCCAACATGGCCAACCCGAGTTCGATTCCTCCGCCCCTCTC